AACTGGGTGATGTGATTTCGGCAACGAGGCGCGGTGGCGTAGCAGCTATAACAGCACCAGTTGCTGCGGAATATTTGACTAATGTTCGATCATCGCAGGCCGGCTTAAACGTGAGATCATCGAACATGGCGGGTTCGACTTTAGAATTCGATTGATAGCTTGGGCGAATGGTTCGAGAAGGTTGTGTAGTTGAAGGAGTCTGAGTCATGGCAGATATGTTTCGAGATAGTCGCAACATCGGTACAGCCATAGAACTCGGCCGTCTTGATGAGGTTATATCAGGGTGAGAGCTATTAAGCACACCTTGAGTTCGACTCAGCAGCGAAGCGCTACTTGAACGAAACTCCTCAGTGGGAGCGTACGAAGATCCGCGAATCATTGGTGTGCCTCTTCCCGTGAATCGGGGAACTCCTATGCGCCACGAAGGTATCGTAATGTCGAGAAGAGGGTCAGAAGTCGAATCGAAATCTTCCATAGTCCGAGGTCGGTATTCCTCCAATGGCTTTGAAATGACGATCTTGAAGGCCCCGGGTTCCGAATCTTTCGCAGCGGACACCTCGTGAACCGTGCTATCGGAGAGAGCGCGTCGATGTTTCACGGGTCGGAGCGGATACTGAGAATCGTGATCGAAGTATGCTCGGGTACCGTCATATGGTGAAGGTTCCGGTGTTGGTGTCCACTGACTAACGTGGAGCTCGCTTGTCTCGTCTTGAAGCTGTTTATTAGAGATTGCATCCAAGCCTGCAGTACTGGGAGGTGTAATCGGAAAGACGAATTGAGGCTGAGGAGTTCGCTGGTACGCAGGGCGAACGGTCGGCCTGGAGAATGAGTCAGTCGTTTGTGGAACGCAGACGTCAAATACGAGCGAGCGTCGTGTTTCTTGCCAGCCACGTTGCTATCCCCAAGGCGACGGGTAGAAGGGATCACAATAAGAGCTCAGCTAAGACGTCTCCCCACAAAGCGCAAGCAAAGACCGCAGAGTGAAGGGAGAGCGGAGATGTGGCTGGTATAGTGACATTTTCCCCAAGGGATAAGATAAATGAGGCACTAAGAAGAAACACACGATATATTAACCCTTCACTTACCTCAAATATATCCGACCATTGTTCCCGACGTTGGCAACAGTGAATTGACGTCCTTCACGGCCTGCCGATCCACCGTCTGGAGTTATCTCCCATCGGGACAGACTGCCCTGATTATCTAGGCTGGAATCGGAGTCCTTGAGACTTCGAGTTGTGGGTTTCTTCTGGTGTATTCTTCGTTCTGAGAGAGGAACCAAGGGTTTCGCAACAATGGTCGTGGGCATGCGCGCGGTGTTGGTGGACCTAACAGAAGGCCACTTACTGGGTGTCGAGAAGCCAGGGCTGGTGTTTTCCTTTTTCTTCAGTGCTGTTACGTTGGGGGCTGCGACAGCGCCTGAGCCGGAACGAGACCTTTGCTGATCCTTCGTTTTGGTTGACAACGGATCCTTGACAGTAGTCGCAGCTGGAGGAGGTGATGGTATAGGGTCTGGGGCTGGGGGCGGCGCGCTGAGACCAGACGCTGGTGGCAGCGGGTCCGCGGACGTCGAAGACTCCAGGGCCTCCATGGCACGGCAAGGCCGCTCGCAGGCGCGTTGCCTGTCGTCACGTCAGGAGAGGGCAGAGCTGACGGTGCTCAAAGCGATAGAGGAGCTGGCAATCAAGGCATTGAGTTAGCAGCGAGCGTTTCAGAGGTTCGAGAAGCCGGCGCGCATATCGTGGGTTGTGCTGATCTTGGCGGCGCGCGTGGTGGGGAGAGATCGAGACGACTAGATGGAAATGGATGGGGAAGGGAAAGAGAAATAGAGGGAACGCGGCGAGTCCGAACTGGAGAAGTGATTGATATGAAGAGAGAGAGTTGTAAGCGTGTTGGCTTGTGCCATCCCACCATCAACAACATTAGATTGCCATGTTATGCTAGTCCAAGTGTGCACTGTAATCAATTACCAGTAACCAGACCAACCTGAGGCATGGCGGGACAGACAAGCATGGAATACCTTGTCGAGTTTCGAACATAAACAACCTTGAATAGGGTGGATCTGATGTCATAAAGTAACAATAAACCAAACTTACATGATAAAGCCATAAAGCAAAAGAGACGAGACTCGATTCTAAAGGCGAATTGCTGTTGTTGTCGTTGCCATTCGAGTCCCGATAGGCTATTGCGGATAATTTCAATGATCGTCGGAGCAAGACAGTTCAGCTCAATCAGAGACAGAGGGGTCGTTGACTGTAAAGAGAGAATCAAAAATAAGACGTGTAACTTTGGTTACCTAGTAAATAACGGGCACAATAGACCCTGGCCAAAGCCCTTTTGTCTCTCTCACACACGTTCAAAAAGCAAAGAGAAGTGGAGAGAAGAAGAAAAGAGACCTTTTTCAGAGGCAATTGGGGGAAACTCAAAAACCTCTCTCAGAGACCAGAAAGAGAGGGCGGACGGGAGATGGGCCTTGCAAGAATGGCGCGGGCTGGCCTGGACTTGGGTTGGCACATGGGATGGGATACAAGAGGGTGTGGGGCTGCATTAGTCTAGCACTTAAGAATAGCAGTAATTGATTCAGGTCGTCTTGTAGCTGTACTGTTATCCTCGTCTGTATACAGTTGAGCTGAAGGTATCGATACTTTCAACCACTGTATTCCTCTCTGAGCGAACCCAGTGGAAGGGTTGATGGTGGGTTAGTCCAGCTCTCTCCCGTCTTTCAAAGTCAAGTTCAAAAGCCTGATTGGCGATCTCAGCAACAGCTAAACTTGACACGAACTGTTTGCCTCAAGCTAAACAAAAGCAGGGAGTCATGAACAACAACTCGTCTCTCTCTTCTCAAGTAACTTATCAGAATAATCCCAAGATGAGGTCTTAATTCAGCAAAAAAAAAAAGCAAAGAGCAGGGTATGTCCATGGCGTTGGTTACCACGTTTCTTCTTCACAAGCCTTAATCGGTGCACAAAAGTATCAAGTACCCGCCGTTCATCCCTCAACGGTTCAACAGCTCGGCCCGCGTCGCATACAAAAGATCCCCTGCAAAACCCCCAGCCATTTGCATATCGAAAGGTACTCTGTACCTGCACCTCTGCCATGCTTTGACGCTGCAGCCAGAAAACCGCCAAAAGTACCTGCCACGGCACACTCGAGTCAATATTCGTCCAGATTTTCTCTGTTGGGCGGCGAGCTAAGGTGGGAGTCTAGAGTTAATGCCCAGCTTTGTCGATCAGAGGGGAAATCTTGGGTATCAATTCTGATAGAGTTTTGCAATCTGATCGGATCGTTCCATGAGGGGATTTTTTTCAACGTTGGTAGATTGAGTGAAGGGGACGGGACTGTACGATAATTACTGCACTGTGACTCCAGGCGGGGGTTGAGAGCGAAATCGTTCCAGAAAGAGAATCCCATGACCGAGGATGCAGCGCAGCTAATGCATCATGCATGGCCCATCACGTTTTCTACTCTTGGCATTAGTATCCGTGCTTTTATCACAATCAATCACTATTCCCTCCTCTGTTTTCCTCCATCTTGAAACTGACAACATTTGAGAATCATTCCATTTCTCTCTCGCGCGATCTGATCCTCCTACACGTGCCATGCATCCATGACAAGGCCCGAGATCCTTAGAAATCAGACCAAGCCAAAAAGCCTAGGTCAAACTTTAAGCTCTGATTCGACACCAACTGCTTGGGTGCCCGGGGAAGCATCCGCGGGTCTTTTCCTGTCTCGGTAGTCAAGGTTCAGGTTTCGGTCTAGGGTCTAGGGTCTAGGGTACAAATTCCAATGAGGTCGAGGTCGATATTGGGACGCAGAGAATCAATTGTCTTGAAGTTAATGTGAATAATTCTGCAGCCTTATCAAAGTCTCAGTCAACTTCTCATCCTTTGTCTTACTTGACGGACCCACATCTCGGTAGAAGGTGCATGTTGTGGACTGTAAATATGCAGTGCTATGACGAATCGCCTTGCATGAGGCTACCTAGTTCGCCGAATAAACCAAATCGCCGATGCTATTTACAATACAACATCCACACGTTGAAGAGCCATTCGTCACGATATCGTTTTCAGCATCACATCAACGATTAATACGCGCCAGATCATGGAACCCATCAATTTGCATACTCACTAGCACACAGAGCCTCCAATGGCCTCTCTTGACTCAGCAAACATGTGGTGTACCCGTCCCCTCAACCACTAAATCTCCATCACCACGAGTCAGTCAAAGCCTCAATATCCGACCATCTGTCTTCCCGCGGGGTCCCGGTCCAACACCACGCATGTAATTCTCTCTTTCAGCACCTAGCAACACATTCTTTCTCGCCTCCGCTGCCCTGGCCGAGTCAAGATCTGGAAAATAGTTCGCGACAAACTAAGGACAGCCAGTAGTTTAAAGCCCGCGCCGATTCCGATGAACCGCTCCGCCCGAGCCCAGCCACTTTTTTCTCTTTAGACTGGTTCATGTTGCTTCTGCGGCGTGCGGCATAGTTATCGTTACTTAGCAAGTGGACGAGTATCCATTCTCGCGTGCGTGCTTCAAGGTTCCCATGTTCACGTATTGCCTTTCAGCCGCTTGAAGCGATGACCATGTGATCAGCAATGTAACATTGCTATCGACCTACCCTATTGCGTTTGATCATGGGCTGGCGAAAGTTGTGCTTTGGGTCGTCTTGAGGACTCAAAACAAGACGACAGACCATGGCTAAACCCAGCCACTGAATGTTTGCCAGGCAGTAAGCAACCTAATAGCAGCATGGCCTAAGGGTGCCCAAGAGAGAACTGAATTCGGGGTAGGAAGGAACCATAAGTAGGAAATTGTCTAAGTTTAGGATTGGTTGACCAAATTTATTGAATTTTTATAATAATCAACATATTCTTTGTAAAAAGCTTCAAAGCTTTGTAGTAAATTCATGCTGGGCTTACAAAGGCAACCTAAAAACATGTTATAATTTGTCATAACTTAGAGTTTCCTTATACTGAATTATCTAAATCTGGTCTAATTATCTATCGAGCCCATTGGCCCTGCATCTTTGTCAACACCAAGTTTGAGAATTTATCCGCGAAGGCATTACTGTCTTGGTTCATCCTTGCCTCCGAGATGAACGCTATGATGGGCTTAATGCCGATTCCAACATGGTCCCCTCCTGCATGCTCATGAATACGAGCCAGGGCTTGCTCGATGCTTCCGGCCGGGACGCCGCTCGATGATTGCAGCACTGTCTGCAATTCACGAAGATTCGATACTGTAGGCACGCGCACGTCCTTTTCGAAGTCCTTTGCTATGTCGAGCTCCTTGAGAACATTGGGTTGAGAGGTCGTTGCCAAGACTAGGAGGCGGTGTCCCTGTGTTTCTTGTTAGCTAAAGTGAGCGTTGTCACTATGTCAATAGAATGCTTACCTTGATAGGGGGACTAGTAATCAAAGCAGACAATGTACCGAGGACTGTCATTGAGAAACGAGGCCCGATGGGGTTCCATCCGATCAGTTGCTCAATGCTATCCAAGATCACAACACTGACAGGCGACTTCTGTGCATCGCTGAAGGTCTTGTGGATAAACTCAGATTTCGCGAAGTCATCACGGTACCCGGCAAGCTTTTGCGGAGTGATCATCCTGATAAATGGAATGTCCGACAGCTTCGCGATATGTGCAGCTAGGGCTGTCTTGCCGCTTCCTTGGGCGCCGTGAAAAATGATCGAAGAGGTTAGCTTTACAGAGTCTTCCTTGACCATGTGCGCAACACCAAGCATGTCGTTCAATATACGTTGGATGTCAGGTGAATAATGAATAATGTCCAAAGCGAGAGCCGCCTCCAACTCTGCCTCCGAGGCGCCGTATGCTGGCCTGACCTCGCTGAGAGCCAATAAAAAGTCGCTCCACTTGACTTTCAAGTGCTCGATATCCTTTGTAACAGTGATCTGATTGGTATCAGTGTGCCGAGAGAATGCACTGGCAGCTGCCGCCTTGACTAGACCAGCGATTTCAGCACCGGAGTAGTTCTTGGTAAGGCGAGCAAGCTCAGCCAAGTCGACGTCGTGGTCCAAGATGTCGTTCTTGGCAAAATGGGAGGTGTGAATCTTGATGATACCAAATCGACCCTCTTCATCAGGAAGAGAGATTTCAAGCTGTACTTCTAGACGTCCGGGTCGTAGCAAAGCCTCATCGATCATATCCCTTCGATTGGTCATGCCGATCAAGAGGATATTGTTAAGTTTGTCCACACCATCGAGTTTGGCAAGAAGCTGGTTAACAACAGTATCACCCACACCAGTACCGCCGCCAGATCCGGAACCTCGCTGCTTACAAACAGCGTCAAGCTCATCAAAGATGATGATGTGAAGGCCGCTCTCTTCTCCCTTTTCCTTGTACTCTTTCTCTGCATCTGCGAACAGCTTTCTGATGTTCTCCTCGGACTGACCCACAAACTTGTTCAGTACTTCGGGACCATTGACGATCTTGGGCGGGTGGGCATTTAGAGTTTTGCCCAATTGTCGGGCAATCAGTGTTTTACCGGTTCCTGGGGGGCCATAGAGTAGAAGTCCCTTGACGTGATCGATGCCCATCTTGGCAACTATACCAGGAGGGAAAATACGAGACGCAAACACACGACGGAAAATGGTGGAAATCTGAGTGTCCAAACCACCGATACCAAGATCATCAAACTTGAAACTGGGAGCGAAGATGGCGCTGGCGTTGGGCTTGTTTACTGAGGGCTTTAGTCTGAAACCATCGCCTGTTTTGGCGTGGAAGAACACCTTGCTTTGAGGAATCAAGATGCCTCTAACATTGGGGTCCTGGTTCTTCTGTTCCCCTTCTGAAGACGTGTCCAAGCCCGTCAGAACGACCGACTCGACGACGACAAGAAGAGGAATGTTGCGGTGGTCCATAAGCATGCGTTGGCCAGGAGCAAGCACTTGGTTCTGGTATGAGTCTATGAAAAGCTTAGATAGCTCTTCCTCATCGTAGGGGACGTCTGTCTTCTTGTTTTGGGTTCTGAAAGTGATCGAAAGCTCGACGGTGCCAAGGTACGCATCGGATCGAGCGCTGAAAGGATTGTAGATCTCGCCGATGAATTCGTCCCTCATGGTGATGCCGGCCCATGTTCGTTGAGCGTCTGTAAGACTAATGCCGCCTCTGGGGAAGCCTGGGATAGGCGTGGCAGTGACGACGTATTCACCAACAGGTTGGCCTCCACGGATGAGGATGTGATGATCAGAGCCATCTCGGTTGGGAGGGAAGTCTTCGGGTGAGACGGCGCATCTGCCCTAGCCGTTAGCTTTATCCAGACTGTTATTATTGCAAAGAGCGGACTTACTTGTTGTTGTAGACGAACTTGGTCCTTAGAGTCTTATCGTCGATTGTCTCGACATGCAGTCGCACTGCCCGAGGCTGAGCCGGTTGCTGCCCGGGGTGGGGACGATAAGGACGATTCATAACTAGCAGTAGAGTGAAGCGGTGATGTGGTTAGGTAGGTGATGCCAGTTGAGAGTGATGTTCAAAGAAGGGACAAGTTTGGATAAGCAAGGTGTTGTTACCATCCCAAAACGCATTCGATGCAGGGGAAGCTACCCACCTTAAGTAAGTCAAGTCCCCTAAGGACAAGGACAGTTAGGTGGCGATCAAAGCTCAATGGCGGGGTCCTCCCTGTGACACAGCCTCCGTCACAGGTGGGTGACGACACGGCCCCCACTAATGGAAGTTACCTAAAGTTACCTAAACTTGGGGAAGGGTCCTCAAAGGTCTAAAGTTAGACTGCCCTAGCTAAACCTTTACTTTCATTCTCATAATATCGTCAAAATGCCACTGTAAGTACAGATTTCTCAAGTATCTACTTGACACGTAAGCTAACTCTCTATAGCCACTTGCTAGGGAAGAAATCGTGGAACGTCTACAATGCCGACAACATCGCCCGCGTCCGTCGCGATGAAGCCGCCGCAAAGGTGGCCGAAGAAGCTGAAGAGCAGCGCATGCAAGAGATAGATGCGCAACGGCGCTTGGCTATCCTTCGAGGCGAGGTACCACCGCCGATCGAAGACGATGAACCATCAAAGGACCAAGAGCCTCCCGTCCGTGATCGCGATGCGTCGCAAAGAACGAGTATGCGACGAAAGCGAAAGCGACCAGGCGAGGACGATACCGACTTTGAGATGCGAATAGCAAGAGAGAATGACAACTCGGCTCTTGTACGAATGGAGCCTGAAAAGAAGAGCACAAGTTCCGCGCCCATCGTGGATCATAATGGGCATATTGATCTTTTGGGCGACGAGAAGTCTAGAGCTCATGCTGAGAAGAATGAGGAGGCTGAGAAGGAAGCAAAGAAGAAAAAGCAGAGCTACGAGGACCAGTACACGATGCGCTTCTCGAATGCTACAGGAAAGGATGGCGTCCTTCGACCATGGTACTCTCAATCTGATGTTGCAGCCCCTGATGCTTCGTCAAAAGACGTATGGGGAAACCAGGATCCTAATCGCAAAGAACGAGATGCCAAGCGCATAGTATCTAATGATCCTCTCGCTATGATGAAGAAGGGAGCCTCCAAGGTACGAGAGATAAAACAGGAAAGGAAGCGTTTCCAGGAAGAAAGAGAAGAAGAGCTGAAGCAAATGCGCCGAGATGAACGACATCGTGAGAAACGGCGTAGAAGGCACCATGAGAGAGATAGGAGCAGAGAGCGGCATAGAAGTCACGAGCGTGATGAGGAAAGGTCTCCCAGTCGACATGAGCGGAGACACAGATCAAGAGAAGGAAGGCATAGCCATAATGGACATGCGGATACACAAAGTCGAAGACATGAGCGCCACGAAAGAGAAGGGTCACGGCACGAGAGGAAACGTTACGAGGAGAGTGGAGAACGAAGGGAGAGACCTCGAAGAGACGATGAGTCTCGTAAAAGGGACTCGCGATCTTCGGAGGGGGTTGGTCATGAACGACGACGACACCATTCTGAAAACTGATACCTTAGCATAAGATACCCATTTAGTGACTTTCACGGCTTGTGCCCTTTGACATTTTCGTGTCCGATTTACCTGCCTGTCAGTTAAGTAGATACCTAGAAACTTTCACAAGGAGACTCAGTGCCCCTTGACGCACTTCATGAGCCTTACTTGACCCTTCGCCTCGTGACTAGAGCTGAGGCCCCATGTTTGAGTTGATGACTTGTTGTCGATAGTCTATTAGAGCTCCTGAGACAGAGATTATTTGATGAAAGTCTTTAGCTAAATGTGAGGCTATGACGCGGAAGACGCCTTCACAACACCTCAGTAAAGAACACATATCAGCACAATTGGGAATTAGTTTCATGTCCTCCCTGCTGCCTATCTCGATACTTTAGCTGAAAGTCAGTAGAGCATACACATGATTTCGATACTATCGTGAATTTCTGCATTCTGTCACATATTATTAGGCAGCACACTCTTTCTCAAGGCGATAGGGTATATTACATCAAAATACTAAAAATCCAACTACAATGCTCGTTCAAACACGTTGCGCACACGTTTCATCCCTCTACCCACGGCAACCTGATCTCAACAGGTTGCATATGAGCCTCAACCATCTCAGCCACCTTCTTCGTCTCCAATCCCTTCAACGCCTCTCTAATCCTCACATACGTCTCCTCACTCAACCCCTCCTTACGATCACAGTAGATATCAACACCCTCCTTAGTAAACACCGTAGGGGCAAACCACGTAACCGCCCATCTCTCCTTAACGCCCTCTGAAGTGACCGCCTCGCCCCAACCCAGTAGCTCCCAGTGCGTGTTCACAAAGACCAACCATCCTTTGCCCCGCCAGTCCCATCCGATAGACGAAGCTTGTGTGTCGATTCCCTGGACTGTCTTGAGTGTTCCGTCTTTGGAGAGGGGCTCGTACTCGACTAGGTCGTCGATACGGGGTCGGCCATCTGCGGTTCCGGGGAGGAGTTTGTATGTGATGCGGACGTTGCGGGCATCGCGCCACATGTTCAGCGTTGAGTGCGTGACGCTCCATGTTGTGGTGATCCAGTCGAGGGTTGGAGGGTCCACGGGAGGTGAGTTTTTGGTAGATGGTGCGTATTTAGTTGGGGGATTGAGCTTGATGGGTTTAGGATCGGCCATGATGCTGTTGTGTAGTGTAGATTCAATGACGTGTGTTCCAGCTAGGAAAAGAAGCAACGAAAGTGTAGTTTAGATGGGATGAAACTAGGTAAGGATGAGTGTATTACTCTGTGAGAAGAACAGATGGATTCACATGAAAAAAATTGCAAGGTTGATAATGAAATGGTCTGCTTGGTACCTAATTTCTTCACAAGCAAGAAATGAAACACGCCAGGCTTCGGGTGGCTGCAGATCTGTTACACAAACACCAGGGAAAATCCATCGTCATTCGTCGACTTTCGTTAAATCTTCCGACTGCATAATTTATCCTAGCCTATTTGTTTCTAATCAAGTATCGTCGGGGCCCTTAATCATCAGTCTGATGTCACTGATATTTCGTTTCTCTCTCAAACATTGGCTGTGATACTGTCAAGGCATGAAAAGTATTGCGCCATAGTCTGGTATATCTGTATCAATAATTTGTTTTAATATGTAAAACGAGGAGCCACGATTTATGCCATAATCATAATTTTGTTCTCTTCTCTACCTAGGTAATCCTTGTTGTTTCTAAATGCCGACAGATGCCCAGGCGGACGGACAGGCACAAGGCGTCAAGCCACAATAGCTGCCTAACAGCCACAACTCCACAGCCTCAACCCCAGATTCCATTTGCGCCAGACACACCTCACTCTTTTCACCATCTCACTCGCCTCACTTCACTCATTCATATCCCCATCTCACTCACTCAAAGGGACGTCTCTCACCGTCTGTCTCACTATTCAAGTGAACCACACTAAATCACAATCATTTTCACAATTCCAAGATGGACCCCACAGAAAACGACGTCGAAGTCTCTGATGACGATCTCATGGCTCAGATGGGCTTCTCATCCTTCGGCGCTGCATCACCACCCTCCAAGCGTCGCCGCTACAATCCAAATGCAGATGCTTTACTGCCACCCAAGTCATCTGCAACCGGCGCAAACTCCACAGCATTAGGAACCGGCTCAAACAAGGATGAGATTTCCCTGGACGACGACGACGAAGGAGATGTCAACTCGGAACAGAAAGTGCCAGCGCAAGCGCGCCCGGCTAGTCTACCCCAAAGACCTGCTCCAGCGCAGGCCACAGCTCAAGGCCAGCATTCGGGAGCGCATGGGCCAAGGGGTAATAAGTTCACTGGATACTACGACCGCATGTCCAACGAGAATCCCTGGGAGAAGATCGAGAAGGCCCGGGGTTTGACGACAAAAGGAACTTGGATTTCTCGAAATGCTGGGAACGCTGCGACGATAGGTGATGCTCCTGCTTGAAGTATTGACATCGACCGACAACCACCAATGTACATGGATTATACAGAATGGACGTCGTTACAAGGTTCGCATCATTTATGTGAACTACCTCAACAAGCGTTCGACGCCCTACTTTAACCCCATGGCTCACATTCAGCCAGAGACAGATTTTGATATCAATTATCATATCACGTGTCACGTCATGTGACGTATGAACAGGGGTCTAACAACCTCCGAGTACCATTACGACGGGACTTCAACTCACTACGCCAATATGCCTCATATCACATGCTTGACCTTACTCAGACTGGTTCGTTGATGGTCTGGAGGGGCGTGGGGAGCAGGTCAATCACATCTACGGGGGGGTTATCACATCAATTGGTCCCAGGGCTATGCCTTCTGTCAAAGAGGGGAAACGAGATGTTGCTTGCTATGAGACTCCATACTCCAGCCGGGATATCCAAAAAGAAAACCTTCTTACAGCTCCTGGCTCCTCCTAAGATGGTCCTATCAACTCTCCAGACTCGCCGCGTTACCCAATGGAGTGATATCAATATCGCTGCCTCCCCTGATTAGGGAAAGCGTCTTAGATACACTGCTTTGCGAGTCCGCTTATTTTCTCCATCCCGTCATCTTCTTGCTCCAGTGCTTTCCAGGGTTTCTCACTCAGTACACCCCCCTCGGCAAATACCATGAGCAGGACGACCTTGCAGACCTCGGCTGCTCCCGCGTCACCCATACCCAGAGAGGTTTCCAAGCACGTCTCTCATGCAGCAATCGGTTCCGACACATCATGTCTTGCTGCAAACCCGCTGACGCTATCCCCTGGCACCTCACAGAAGCTGGGGAGGTGTACTTTTAACAACCGCCCCTAGATCGTTCAGTTCATCCAATCATAAGTCATAAGTCGTGAAAAAGCCGCCCATCTTCGCACTTTCCGCGTGTTTTCGCCCACACCTGCCCCAGAAGCCACGAGGCTGGCGTTCCTGGCTAAGGACTGCCCACACACACTACCCTGTCGCTTTGTTAAAAGCAGCAAGACACTGCGCGCCAGGCGGCTCAATTGCCGCGCTTAGTGCCCCTGATTTCAACGTCACCTCACGCTCCCCTTGCATGAACAACTCGTTCATGCAGGTCAGGATTGAGGGTGGCAAGACAAGCGTGAAATACTCGCTAAATACAAAAAACAATTAACCTTGAAATTCTGGGAATCTGATTATCGTGTGTTCCTGCATTTTGCAGTGAAACTATGTGCGCAAGTAGGAAATTTTGGTGAATCGCATGTGGTCGAAAGTTGCTCGCTAAGTAAAGTTTTTGGTCGTAAAAGTTCAAAATGCCGCTCCAAAGAAAGTTCCCAGGAAATATCTAGTTCTCAGGGGATGGAAATCGGGCGCGGGCCTTGCTGTACTCCTTGCCATGCTTGCGAGAAGCTTTGGTCTTCAGCGAGCTGCGATCGTGGGTTAGTCTCAGTCTCTGTAACTCTGCGAATTGATCTTGCCGCGCATGACAAACTGCAGTTGCGTTTGCACTACGGTTCAAAAAATTCGCAGAGTCTATTTGACTTACCCAACTTTCTTTTGTGTCCACTCAAGATCACTGCGCACCTCATGGGCATCTCGCATACCCTCCTGGAAGCGCTCACGAGTCTTCGCAAGACGAGCCTGCGCCTTCTTCTGGAGCTCCATAAGCTCGCGGTGCTTGGCATTCATTTTACCAGATCTGCTCACAAAATCGAGTCAGCATACATACTGGCCAAATATCTTTGCCGCTAATGGCAAGATTGTGTAACCCCTTACAAACGTCGGCGAGCAAACATAGCCTGCTTCGCGTTTGTGGGAAATGGATGGGAGATCCACTTACGTCTGTGCTTGCATGGCCATACTGCGGTCAAGAGGGATTGGGTCAAAAGAGTTGGCAAAGCGGTCTTGCATGTACTCCTGGAAGTCAACGCCGCTAGCAGAGCGAGTGCTTTCATATTCGCCGTATCCGCCAGAATATTGGTACCCGGACGAGGTAGCCGAGTATCCACCATTGCTGTAGGAGGGGATGCCCGAGGCGGAGCTAACCGAGTCATCACATTCCGGAGGCGAGACGGAATACTGGCTGTAGGTGGGGTACTGGGAGCCCTTAGAGGGAACGGGAAGAGGCATGGAGTAGCCCACAGGAGTGTAATGAGAAGACATGGTGATTATTTGAGAGACAAGAAGATGTGCTAATGCCAATTGAATACTTTGACAAGTGATCCGAGAGGTGGTTCAAGGTTGAGTTAACTGAGGACAAGTGAAGCTCAGTTGAGGTATGAGAGTTGTGTATGAAGACAACAAGTCAAGGAGACTTTGTATAAGTGCCGGGCGGGTTGGGACTTCAAGTCAGGAGCTGTCCGAAGAGTGATGAGAAAGGAAGAAGAAGAAGAAAGCTTCAACAGCATTAACTCTGACCTTTTTATACTTTTTCAGAGACCCTGACCGGCCAAACCGGAAGAACTTGAGGATAACTCATCTTGACACCATTCGCCAACGAAGGACGAGTAACCCCGCCCATGAGGGCGTGCCATAGGATATGACAGGATGATGGCATGGTCCAGAGGGTGATGAGAGGCTAGACGAGACGATCACGACGAGATGCACAGGTGTGGGCCATCACGGACGGCAACGATATGACCAGGTAACAAAACTTCAAAACTAGGACTACTAGGAGGGTGACTAGGGAGGCTAGAAGCGGCAAAGAGCCTTGGAAGGGTAATGAAATGTTAGAGAACCATCCGAGATGTACTGCCGTTTGACATCCGAGCCAACGAAAGAGAAGAGTAACGGAACATGCTCAAGATAGGGCTCTTGGGGGAGGGTGAAGATAGAGAAAGACCAAGCTTTGAATAAGGCGTAACCTAAAGAAAAGCGTGGCTTTAAGATGTTTCAGGGACACTGCTTTGACAAATGCAGTGACGTTGAAATTGTAAACGCCTTTGAGCTACGCCGTTGGCTGGGTGTAACAAGACCAGTCTAGGATGAGCATGGGCATGTGCATATGCCGAGAGCAAAGATTGCAATCTTAGATGTCAGATGTAACAATTAAGAGAGTAAAAAATGGAGACCGCCTTGGGTCCAAAACGATATTTACCGGGCAAGTTTAGGGGAGAGACTGGGGATATGTGCTTGATAGGGCAATGGATATGTGTCAAAGATGGCGTCGGGCAGAACATGACGATACCATGTGCTAGTGGGCAATTAATGAAACGAGAAAAAAATGTGTCTGTGTGCCGGAGCGGAGATCGAGAGAAGACCCGACTTGGAAGGGACCGACCCAGACCGTACGGTACAGCAGGAGAAGGGCAAAAGAAAGTAAGATGCTGGTAAGATGCCATGCATATCCGGACACAAGTGGCTGCACTAGCCCTTGGGTCCAAGTGTTGAGAGGGGACAAGGACCATGTGTATAATTTGTCTTGGGGGCAAAAGTTTTCCCACCGATATTTGCTTGTCTGGAGCGATTAGAGGCCGACGGTGTTAGTCGTCTGAGCGTCAAGGGCTTGGTCGTTGAGAAGCGGAGGAGGCAAGTCGAGGCCGAGCTTGGATTGGGCTCTTGGTCGAGTGACGTGAGGGACATAGCCGATGTAAACTAGGCTGGCACGCTGCTTTTTGGTGATAGCTAGTTGTGGATTGAAAGCAGGTAAATGGATCGCAGGTAAGAAAGGACCAAACGGACAGCGCAACGAACGACCGAATCAACGCTGACTGGTTGGAGAGTTGGCTAGATGGACCTAGGTAAGTAAAGTAGACACCAATGCCCACACCCTCACAAAGGCATATCTGTACCATACAGAGTACATCTCAATCGGCCGGGTTCCGGTACCGTTTGGAGTAGCGGGTAACATTGGTGGTGGGTGTCTGAAGAAAAAAGACCTTGGTTGCCTCACCGTGTAAATGGATATTCGTGAGAGATCACCAACCGCCGATTAGACCCTTGGCATTCCATCGTTATGCCCAGTTCAAGCGCTCCGCGCGAGGAGATAGCAAGACATCAGCGCGGAGGAGCGGATACTGGAGAATGCAGGCTTCTTCAATGTATCCGCAGTGTAATTTTGGTATGCATTAGGACTGCGTCTTGTTCCTTGCTGCAGGGGAGTAGGCAGGACCATGGAGAATGGAGTCGGAGGCGGAGAGAGTTGCAAACAAGCGCGCTGACGCTAAGTAAAGCCAAAAGACGAAGTTGATAGAAAAGCAGCCTTGGATTTTCATTTTCCCTCTAAAGCACCAAACACAATCTCGCCCACACCCCCCTCCAATTGCATCTTCTTCGCTGGCGGCGTTTAACCAAAAAGCTCAGACATGTCTGTCGAGACAGAAGGAAGAAGTAATGATCAAGATAGACCTTGCAATGGTCTGACCGAGGATTGGCTCTCAGCATCGGTTGACAGGGTGTGAATTGAGAAGCGAACGTAAGGCGGCGGGTCGGGTAGAGGTGCATCAAGCCGGGCAATTTCTGGCATTGCTCTGTCCTGTAACTGTACCTTTACAGGAGAGCACAGGAGGTAAGGTAATGTAGTGATGCGTTGTCAAGATGATTACCAGACGTTGCTGTGACGGTGGGTTTGATATGCAATTGTATGGTTGTATCGTATGGGGTGAAAGACAAGGTCCGGTATTGAATTCCAGGGACCCGATCGGAGGGTCACCTCAATCGACAGGTGTCTCTGGCACCTTCTCTATGAAGATGGTGTGCCATTCGCAGGAGCTTTTCTGTCTGGCAGGTGCGCGCAATACGTAGTTGGAGCTTTCAAGAAAGGAGGAAGGATCCATCCATTAGCTGGACTGGACGCATCAAGTTGGTGGGATGGTGGGGGAAGGAAAGTGCGTAACGTACCTTCCTGGTATCTCATTCCGTTGATGATGACAGCCATTTTGGTAGGATTTGCTTTTTCCTTTGCTTGATTCAACTTTGGATGTTCCACGTGCCATATCAATTTTTCTTTATCACAGTCACGCAGAGCCTCATTAGCCATATCTGATATGTCTTTTGTTGACAGCACTCAATTGAGCTCGTCATGAAGCAATTGATGGGCCATGTAACACCGAGAACGCATTGCCTTGATACAACTCCAAGGATCCACTATCACGACTTCAACACGACTTTTGAGATGCTTCATGTCCAGATTCTCGAGCTTTCGGCTTCACCACCCTCGATCCGTTCAACCTTTGGTCCAACGCCATTCCATTGGCGAAAAGAATCGGTCAAATTCTGTCAACAATGATTGGATAACGCCTGGACAACTATCATGATTGCATCCATTGCAATGGGTCTTTACAGTACATACGGCATTTCTTCCTTATTTCTCGCCCCTTCCCCGCTTGCTACTACCGACCAGTCACCACAAGGTACACCGCAAGATCCACCATCCACCATCTTTATCTAGTTGGTGAGCATTGGCACAGTTAGCTCAGACTATCTGTGACAGGGTACATGCTTGGAGATTTGTCCTGGCTGGGTTTTTAGCTTGCGAGCTCTGTATGACGAACCTTGAAGAGAATTCGCAAGAACGGATGATACAATCGTTGCGTCTGGGCCGATATGGTTCATCGAAGACCATCGTAGAGACTGACATGGAGGTGAATTAGGAGCCGACATGAAATGCCCAATCCTGATCTTCGGCTTATCCAAGTCTATGCAAGGCCAACATCGACTTGGAAAGATGTTCTCTGACTTCCACATATGTCTCATGGTAGTCCGAGCTATGAGGGAAACGAGTAGCCACATGAGCAGTCGACATTGGGAAAATATTCATCACTGATCATATCAATGCATTCTTCACCCGGCCTAATCCCTACACTCTGCATATGCTGCACAGCCGGATCAACGCTCGTTGGATGAGGTCCCTGACAAACCCCGGCCTGTCAACCAACAACTACGAATGGGGACGTTGCCCCGGTTATGTGCAGCTTCTAGGCTGCAGCTCTGCTGTATGGTGACAGTTCTGGAGTCTGCGACAACGGCGACTTTGCTATCATGAGCCACTGTGACATGTCTTCAACGGTTCCTGTCGCTACCCGCCACTCAGAACGTGAAGTCATCACTTAACTCTGAAGAGCTGTCACGGTTCATGCACATCCGATACGGGCAGTTGCTTCGTTCGAAATCCGTTGTAACATTATCTCCTGTCTCACTGTTACTGCGTCCCCGGACCTGGGATGTCCTTGAGCGACGTCCGATCAGCGTCGGCATCAAACGAGCACCATCCTGGTTATCCACCTCGCGATCTTGTTAGTTGCGCATCACTTGCGATGATCGTGTCTTGATACATCTTGAATGGCAAGTCCTACCACGAAATCCGAGAGCCTATCACGCAGGAGGCATGACTTGCGAGCCCTGCGTTGCGAGCTGTGCGTCAGATTTAGTTCAAGCTGCTGTGCTTCAATCATTCGGTCTCCTGGAGATCAATGAGTCGACTGATCTGCCCGCCTCACCTTGATCGATTTGAGGCCATGAAAGCAAGATGAACCGGTGGATGATGACCGGAACCCAATACTGACGCGAGATTCGTCGAGATTGGAAAGAGATGAAAGATGACTAACTTGTTTCTCCACAAGAAGCCAGGTGCCTTTGTTTTGCAGTGCATTGCATTTGCATTGCATGACAAGGCAGGTGTCGTCCTCCAACAGCGCATCCGCTTGCCCACTCACAAAGCCATCAGGACTTGACTCGGACCTTTGGTTCGTTCTGTGTCCTAAACTATTCGACGAAAGACGAACAAGTTGCGAAAGCACAATCCTGACTGCAACATGACTATCCAAGCGTACATATCTCGGAATTCTACAAATAGTACGTACTTATCATCTACACACCTCCCCTGCCATGATACCCTCCATCACGCACGGACAACTCAGCGCCGTTGCGTGCGGCAAGGCGTGGCCCAGGCACACGGAGGGGAAGATGCAACTTCGTGCAGGGGGGTTCGATGATGGGGCACCGTCTAATAGGACGACAAGCTTAAAGAGAGATGCAAAGTAGATGGATTTTTTTCGTCTCTGCGAAGATGGTGTGAATGGTGTGCGCTGGACTTGAGGCTTTGCCGACGGAACGATTGATATCCAATTAGCCAATCTATCTCGCAACTACAGCCATTTACACGTACCAAGCTATTTACCCAATGCAGAAGGAGTTCTGTTAGGAAATATATCAGAACGATCTCA